CCTGCCTGCATGTGGGCGGGGAGCCGCGTGCCGGGGCTGCGGGGAGGGCACCCCGGGTGCTCCTGGCCCAGCTGGGACACGAAGGAGAGCAGTGAGTGGGGGGCAGACGCTCATCACAGACGGCGCTGGGCTGGTGCACCCCCAGAGCCGACAGCGTGCAAGCAGAGCGCCCAGCAAGGCCGGGGGTAGCTTCTCCTTTCCGGTGCACTTTTGAGTGCGCTGGGCTGAGCACAGCAGCTGGTGACCCCAGGACCATGCCAGGGCAGGAGACGCGTGGGAAGCAGTTTTGACAGAGGAGCCTCGGTGTCCAGCTGGCCTCGCTCGGCCATCAGAGCCCACAGGGCCTCAGAGGCTCAGCTCCGCCACAGCTCTGAGCGCTCAGCCCTCACTCTGCGGTTCTCAACTGTGGCCACCCATGAGATTCCCTGGGAGCCTGCCAACACCCCCAAACTGGGTCAGACTCTTCGAGGGTGGACTGAGTTGTATCCCACCAAATTCGTGTGTCAAGGCCTTACCGCCGATGTGCTGGTATTTGGCACGAAGGCCTTTATTTAGGAGGTAATTAAGGTTCAGGGAGGACGCACGGCTGGCCTCAAGCTAGGATGACTGGTTGAGAAGGGGGTCTTAGGTATTTTCCGGCCACTGACTCACAGTACCCCTCACCCACTTCTGAAAGCAGGAGAGCCTAAGTCTGGCACATGGTTTCACCCGGTCCAGTCCATGGTTGGCTGGCTCCAAGGCGGAGAAACCTGGTGGGAGGGTCTGTGGAGGACAGTTGCTCACGGCATGGTGACCAGCAAGCAGCCAGAGGAGGGAGGAGCTAGAGAGGGAGACGCCCCTTCCAGGCCACACCCCCGGGACGGATCTCTCCAAACCAGGCCCCGCCTGCTAACAGCATGCTATGGTTTGTGTCTGGATGTTCCCCCAAAGGCTCATGCAGTCATGGGGCGGATTTCTAGAGTTTTTGATTGATCCATGGTTCAATGTTGGGATTATTGAACCCTGCACCCACCCCAGGGCAGGTAGCCTGCATACAATAGAAGGGAGGGGAAAAGCCTTGCTCTCTCTCCCCTTTCGCTCTCGTTGCTTTTTCTGTCTTCCACTGCCATGAACTGTTGTCTTCTGCCATGTGCCACTCTGCCTTGGAGCCAGCAGATAAGGGACTGAAACCTCTATGAACAGTGAGGTAAATAAACCTTTCCTTCTTTAATTTTGGGCATCGGGTATTTTGTCCCAGCAGCGAGAAATGTAACCTAAATGAAACTGGTACCAGGAGTGGGGTCATTGCTGTGATGTTGGCTGGCCATGTAGCGAAAGAGCCATGGGAATTACTTTGGAAAGGTTTTGAGAGACTGGCCAAAGAGGCAGCCCCTGTATGCTGTAAACTGTAAATATGGGAGACTCTGGTTGAAGCCTGGAAAATCAGAGCACTGGTGTAGATGCTGCTGGTAAAGATGAGGCACAGGAGGCTTTTACTGAGGACTGCATTGGCTGCTGGATCCCAGGTGTGTGTTGTGCTTTGGCAGGAAACTGGTCTGCACTTTGGTTGTGCTTAGAGACATTACTTGGGTTGCAGAAAAATATCATTGCAGTCAGTCGGCTGTTGGGATGGTGACATGGTTACTGTTGAGATCTTTTGGCCAGATCTATGTTCAAAACTGAGCAAGGAGCCAGTGGGGTGATTTGAAGCATTTGGCCGGAGGGAAGGCTCCAGTGCAGCTGTGGGCTGCAACGACCACAGAGGAGAACGCGATTGTTGAGAAGGAGCAGGGCAATGGAAAAATGAACTGCAGCCTTTCGCCTGAAGGGAAGAGAGTGTTTGAAGTGCAGGAGAGCCCTGTTTCTTAATATTGCCACACCCTGTTGTTAAAAGTTAATGGAAAGCAAGGATTGTGATTGTAAAAGCTTTTTAAAAGAGTTTAATGTAGTTTTTAGATATGTTTGTAATCAGGTTGTAAATCAAAGTTTTTTGTTTTTTTTGTTTTTTGCACTGGGAATTGAACTCAGGACCTTGCACTTGCCAGGTAGGCACTGTGCTTTTGAGTTATATCCCTGGCCCAGTATTTTACTTTTTTCTTTTTTTTTTCCAGTACCAGGGATCGAACTCAAGACCTTGCACTTGCCAGGCAGGCACTGTGCCACTGAGCTAAATCCCCAGCTCCAGTATTTTACTGTTAACCTTGAATTTTGATCACCCTTTGAATATTTTGTTTTTTGTATGAGAATGAGTACAAGAAGAATTGTATATTTGTAATTGTTATATTAATCTGAATAGACCAAGATATGCTAACTTTTCACAGTCTTCCACTGGAGACTATGGCTTAAGGAAACGTGCCTGGCTATCAAGTTGGCCAGGGGTGGGTTGTTTGGAGTTAACTAATGGTCAACTTGTCACACACCCAGCTGAACTGAGTCAGCGTGGTGCTGGGTGTGGAGGGCCCACCTGAGGATGGTTGTCAACAGCATAAAAAGAGAACTAGTGAGGAAGATGATGAGCTGTTGATTCCCCTGGAGAAGCTTGTCTACTGGCTTTCCTGATATGAACTCAGCTGTTGTCATCATTGGAGGAACTCAGGACCTCACTGTCACTGAGGATGGCTATGTTTATTTTCAGGGGAGCTCTAGTCCTTACTTTGAGCCTCGCTTCCTGGCTCCAGTGCAGATCCCTCAGCCTGCTGCCACAGATCCTTCATCCAGCTGGCACAGACTTTCTAGATTCCACCACTGACCTTGGGGCCTTCCCGGTGCAGATCCTTGGTACAGACTTGCACAAGACATTGTGATGGGCTTTATGCCTCCAGTTGGATTCGTGGGGGACAATGCCAAGGGTTCTAGGTCTTCAGCTGGACTGGTGCAGGACATTGCTGTGGGATCCAGGCCCTCAGCTGGATTCTTTGGGCCTCTAGTGTGTGGACAGATGTCTTGCACTCTTTTGCATTTGTCTCTTTGGGTGAATATTATAAAATAATCCTATGAATTATGTGACCTGTATTAATTCCTTTCTCTCATAAACCCTGACTACGACACAGCACATTCAGCTATGGATTCACCAGTGGATTACCCACTTAAGATCCTATCACCTTCCCAAAGCCCCACCTCTGGACACGTAAGACTTTGACATTCTAGATGTCAGCCGCAAGAGGAACAGATACGAGCACAGAAGAAGCCTACATAAGGACACCAGGAGGAGAAGGCCACCACCCACAAGTCCAGTGGTAGAAGTCAACCCTGTAGACACCTTGCTCTCAGATGTCCAGGCTGTGGAGCTGGAAGGGAATGCATCTCTGTTGAAGCTACCTGGCCAGGACATTTTGTTACAGCAGTGCTTTCAAACTAATACAGTCCACTGTTAGCATTTTTTTCTTTCTCAAAATGACTTTGGCTATTCTAGGTCTTTTGCATTTTCAGCTACAAATATAGTAGCAAATTATCATTTTCTACATAAAATCTACTGGGGGTTTGGAGATTGTTTGGAATCTATGTTTTCATTTTGGAAGAACAAACACCTTAACCAAGTTGATCTTCCAACTGCTAAACATGATGTAGCTCTCCATTTAATTAGGTTGTTTTAAATTTCTTTCATCAGTGAATTACAGCTTTCAAACTGGTCTTTCACGTCTGTCATTACGTACATGTATTCCTTAGTATTTAAAACATTCTAGGTATTTTGATACTACTAGAAATGCTGTTTTAAAACTTCATTTTCCAGCTACCACTTAGAAATATAATTTTTGTGACCTTGTATCCTGTAATGTTGATAAATCTTTCTTATTCTATTTATAAAAGTACCTTAGAGGGCATCCCACTTGGCCCCCCTTCTATCCCTCTCTTGGACAGGGAAGCTTCCTTTCCCCCAATAAATATATTCTGCTCTTTAAAAAAAAAACCTTAGAGTCCTCTGTGTAGACAATTGTACCCACAAATAAAGAAACTTTTACTATTTCCTTTCTAGTGTCTATGTCTTTATTTTATTTGGCTGATTTAATGCACTGACTAGGATCTCTAGCCTAAGACATCCTTGCCTGGTTCCCAATGTGAGGGCGAAAACATTGAGTTTGTTATTGTCAAATATGTTTCCTTAGATTTTCTGTAGATGTCCTTTATCCAACTAGGAAAATTTCTTTCATATTTCTAATTTGTAGAGAGGTCTTTTGTTTGTTTTGAGGTAGAGTTCACTGTGGTGCCCAGTCTGGTCTCAGACACCTGGGTTCAAGCAACCACCCTGCCTCAGCCTCCCATTTGCTGGGACTATGCCACTGACCCTGGCTGTAGTCTGAAAAATAATTGAGAGGTGCTGAAATTTTTTTTTTTTTTAGTGATCATATTATTTTTCTTTTTTATTTTGTCAGTGTGATGAGTCATGCTGATTCCCTTTTTATTTATTTATTCATTTACTTATTGGTATTTTAGATGTAATGAGACAGGGTCTTGCTATGTAGCCTAGTCTGGCCTGGAACTCGAAGTAATCCTCTTCCTTCAGCCTTCTGAGTGCTGGGATTATGGGCGTGTACCACCACGCCTGGCTGCCAGTTTTTAAAATTATTTATTATTCGCAGATGACATGATACTCTACATAGAAGACCCCAAAAACTCCACCAAAAGACTCTTAGAATTAATCAACAAATTCAGTAGTGTAGCTGGATACAAAGTCAACACTCAAAAATCAATAGCATTCTTATACACAAACAACAAATATACTGAGAGAGAAATAAGGGAAACCATATCTTTCACAATAGCATCCAAAAAACTGAAATACTTAGGAATTAACAAAAGAAGTAAAAGATCTATACAGCGAAAATTACAGTATTCTGAAAAAGAGATTGAAGAGGATTTCAAAAAATGGAAAGCTATTGCTTGCTCAAGAACCAACACTGTGAAAATGCCCATACTCCCAAAATTGTTAAACGATTCAATGCAATTCTGATGAAAACAACCATTGGTATACCTCACAGACCTAGAGAAAACATTCCTAAAATTTATCTGGAACCAGGAGAGACCCAGAATAGCAAAAGCAATCTTGGGCAACAAAGGCAAGGCAGGAGGTATCACAATCCCTGACTTGAAATTATACTACAGAGCTACTGTGATAAAATCAGCATGGTATTGGCAAAAAAACAGACCTGAAGATCAATGGAACAGACTGAAAGATGCAAACACACAACCACAAAGACACTCAGCCACCTTGTCTTTGACAAAGGGGCCAAATATGTTCACAGAAAGGATAGCCTCTTTAATAAACGGTGCTGGAAAAACTGGCTTTGCACATACCCAAGACTAAAACTAGACCCAAGCCTGTCACCATGCACCAAAATAAAGTCAAAATGGATTAAAGATCTAAATATGAAAACAGAAACACCAGATCTAATGGAAGAGAAAGTAGGTGGAAGTCTTGAAGACAGAGAGGTAGGCAGAGAGTTCATGAACAAAAACCAAACTGTACAGGAAATACTTCAAAGAATCAACAACTGGGATCTCACCTTATTGAAAAGTTTTTGCACAGCAAAAGAAATCACAAACAGGGTGAAAAGAAAACCCACGAATTGGGAAAAAATTTTAGCCAACTGTCCTCAGACAAAGGACTCCTGTCTAGAAAAAAAAATCAGGCCCTCAAAATTGGAAGACCCCTACAAGAATGGGCATCTGAGATGAATACACACTTATCATATGAGGAAATACAAATGGCAAATACATGAAAAAATGTTCAATGTCATTAGTCATTTGAGAAATGCAAATTAATACAACACTGAGATTCCATCTCACCCCAGAAAGAATGGCTATCATCAAGAAATCAACCCATAACAAATGCTGGAGGGGCTGTAGGGAAGAAGGAACTCTTCTCCACTGTTGGTGGGAGTTTAGACTGGTGCAACCACTGTGGAAATCAGTGTGGAGATTCCTCAAAAAGTTAGGATTAGAGGTCTCATTCAACCCAGCTATTCCCTTCCTGGGTATTTTTCCAGAAGAACTGAAAACATCATATCACAGCAATATATGTGCACCTATGTTTATAGCAGCACAATTTGTAATAGCTAAATCTTGGAAACAATCCAAATGTTCAACAACTGAGGAATGGATTAAAAAGATGTGGTATTATTATATAATGGAGTATTACTCAGCTATAAAGATAAATTAGAGGCTTTTATAGGTAAATGGATGCAACTAGAGAGTATACTCATTAGTGAAATAAATCCTATTCACATGTATAAACATCATGTTTTCTCCCTACTATAAGAACCTGAAAGAGTAAATAAAATCTGAAAGGTACAATAGATACTGTGAAAGGGAAAAGAAACTGCTCAAATAGGAAAGAGCAACTGGGATGAAGGAGGAGAGAGGAAAAAGAAAGAAGAGGGAAAAATATGTATATATATATACACAGAATAGCTAGGATAATTGTACTACTAACATCTCTTTGTTTATTGAAGGGAATTGTTAATGTGTAATTGTTTGATCAGTCTTGCATGCCTATACCTGGTTATATGTGCAACCATTTTGAAGATGAGATTATGTAATATAACAACCACTGTTAATACCCTATCACCATGTTTTGAAATTCTGTATCATTTTTATTGTTCTCTATGCTGTCTTGTTTATGTATTTGTTTTTGTTTTGTTTTTTTAAATGAAAACCAAAATTTATATGTATATATATGAGAGCTGGAATAGGTGTATTGCTTGTGTCTGTGGTTTATTGAAAGGAACAGTCACGCTTAAAATTTTTTTTCTTGACCAATTTGGCATGCTTGAATGTGGTAACCAGATGACTGATCTGAAAACAACAATATGCAGTATAAGAATCATTGTTGAACTCCTACCATCATGTATGGTGAAGCTATGCATCATTTCCAATGTTTTTGTTTTATTGTTACAGTCTTTGATTGTTTGATCAATCTTACATTCTTATGGCTGGTGGACTGAGCAACTTTGTTGAAGATCACAGTATGTAATGTAGCAACCACTGTTAATTCCTATCATTTTGTTTTGAGGTCATATATCATTTTTGTTGTTTTGATTTTGTCTTCATTGTTCTTTTATTTTTTTAATTTTTAAAATAAAAAATAAAATTATTATTATTATTCACAGTGCTGGAGTTCACACCCAGGGTCTCATTCCTGCCAGGTAATCCTGTGACACTGAGCTACAGCCCAACCCCTTGACTGACTTTCAGATGCAACTCTGATTAAATGCCACTTGTTGACGACGCATATAGCTATGCACTGCTGCATTAAAGTTGGTGATATTCTATGGAAGATTTACCTTCATGAAGGTATCCATTCGTAATTTTCTTTGTTGGGATATCTTTGCATTGTTTTTCTATGGCCTTACAAAATGAGGTCCAAAGTGTTCCCATCACCTCTATTTACTGAACAAGTTTGGGCAATACCGGTATTTTTTCTTCATTAAATGTTTTTCATAGTTTAGATTTTCTCTGTGAGAATGTTTTTTAATAATGATTTTCTTTTTTGAAACAGTGTCTCACTGTGTAGTTCAGGCTGGCTTTGAGTTCACTGTGTAGCCCAGGATGGCCTTGAACTCATGAAGCTTCTTCAGCCTCAGCCTCCTGAGAGCTGGGATTAGACCGTGTACCACCACACCCTAGCAATAATGAATTTATTAATAGGCATAGGATTACTTCAATTTTCTTTTCCTTTTTGAATCTGTTATGGTAATTTCTGGCTTTCGAGAAATGCTTTCAGTTTACTTGGGATGTTTAAGAGAAATCATTTAAAATTTTCCTACCTGCAAGATCTACATATTTCTTCCTCTACCATTCATCATCGGTATTTTCTCGCTTTTCTTCCATCTAGCTTATCAATTTTGATAATCTTTTCAAGGAACAAATCTTTGACTAACTTTTCTTATTATTTACTCTTTCTAGCTTATTGGATTATTAGTTTTAAACTTAATGTCTTTCATAGTCTATGCACATGAAATTATAAACTTCCATCTAAAGGATGACTTGGCTTCACCCCAAACACATTTTGATATTTTGTTTTTGCTTTCAGTCAGTTTAGAATATTGTCTAAATTCCCTTATATCTGGTTTTCTTTTTTTTTTCACAGAAATGTTTTATTAGTCCACGTTTGCAGTACACAATGATTATGTCCATCATGGGGGGACTGACATAACATGTCTTAATTCTTTTTTCATCCCCTTCTCTTCCTCCTCTGTCCCTCCCTTGGTCCCCTTGTATTTGCTTTTTTTTGGCGGGGGTGAGGGTTGTTTGTTTTTTGGTTGTCTGAGACAGGGTCTCACTAAGTAGCCCTGGGACTCACGGCGATCCTCCTGCCTCAGCCTCCCGAGCGCTGGGCTTACAGGCGTGCGCCACCCCTCCAGGCTTTGTATCTGCTCTTGATTCACAGATTATTTAGAAGTGTGTTTACTGTCTAACCTGATGTTTGCGTCAGAAGCCAGTCCGTGGCTCTGGGCGCCGGACTGCGGTCCGCTGCGCGCTGGGTTTGGCGGGAACCTGCTTCCGTCCCAGACTGTCATGGAGACACCAGGTCCCTGGCCTGCTCTGCCTGACGCTGGAGCATCGCGACAACCCCAAGCGTCCTCACGCAGCCCCACACAGCCACGGAGGGAGGGCAGCGTTGGGGCCGCGCTGCGGCCTCTGCGCCCCTCTCCTCACTCAGCTCCTGCAGCCCAGCTCCGCGGGACCTCGCCGGGTTTGTCCCTTGGCGGCTTCCGTCTTCGAGTCTCAGAGTTTCAGGTCCTGCCAGTCCGGGCTGGCACAGACGCCACCCGCACCCCCTCCCCGGGGTTCCGTCTTTGACCGAGTTTCAGATCCCGAGGTCGGGGTCGGTCTTGGCATGGACTGGGACACGCAACCCCTCTCCGGAACCCTGCTCTACCCAAGGGGTTCTGCAGGGCGGGCGGCCGGGGCTGGGGGTCTCCTCGGCTTCCCAGCCCTTTTCTCCCGCGCGCGCTCTCTCCTTGCCTT